GAAAAGAAGGAAGAAAGAAAGGAAGGAAGGAAGGAAGGAAGGAAGGAAGGAAGGAAGAAAGAAAGAAAGAAAGAAAGAAAGAAAGAAAGAAAGAAAGAAAGAAAGAAAGAGTGAAAGAGAGAGAACTGGCAACTGGATCAGAACTATGGTAAATAAATCTAAATGTCAGTCAGGTGAATAAAAAATATAAAAGGCATTAATTCTTGGCACACCATTCAACTTACATTTATTTTCTAAAGTTGCTCAAGAACAGACAGGCATAGAAATAATTACTGATTTTATTCTATTTTTATAATTGTATTATTTAGATTTATATGCACCTTGAAACAACTGATATTCTCAATATAAGTTTTGACATAATAACATGAATGGGAAGCATGGAGAAATTAAAAATATTAGTTTGGGACAATGTATTCTTACACTGTGTCTTGGAAATAGAGGGCCCAGACCAGTGAACAGGAAGTCCTACTTTCTTTGGGCGTCTCCATCTCTGTGGGTGCCTTTTGGTTTTGAATTCACAAACTAAAGCTTATATAGTTGAAATGAACAACTCTACATAGTTTCCCAGATGAGAAAAACAAAAAAAGTATTCCTTTTTAAAAGACATGTTTTAAGTGCCTTTAATAGCTCAGTTGGAGAACAAAATTCTTTACTGGCAGGAGACCTAAGTGCAAATTAATCCATAGACCTTCTGGATTGGCTTGCCATGAATTGGGTTTCCTGAGGAACTCATGTTCGTTAGATACATGAACCCATAGAGCGAACAGATCAGATCCTAAAGTATACAGAACAGCCATCTGCATGACTTCCTCAAGTAATTCAAACTTATTATAATATAGTAGGTCTAGAGGAAATATGCCAAAAACAGTACTTGAATGACATCATTCAGGTCGAATTTTTTTCAAGCAGAAATGCTATATATTGACTCAGTTTTAAAGGGCTTAATAATAGGAAGTAAAGAATAATGCCCCAACACTTGTAGAATAATTCAAAATTTTTAAAACTCACCAATATCCACTCAGTCACCATGTATTGACTGAAAATCCAATACATAAAATACCCACATTAATTACAACATATAATTCTGACCTTGTTCTGTAGGAAATGGTCCTCTAAGTCCACCTTTTCAAATTGATCAGGTATCTGTTGACTGTTGGCATTAAAATTCACTGGAAATCCCTCACAAACTTCCCAACTAAAAAAAGTGAAACATTTGATTATTTTTGCTAGAATAAAATATATTTATTTATAATACTCTTTAATATACTAGTATAATAATTTATGCATTTTATACTCCACTAGTAAAAGAAAATTTAATGTATAATTTTAAACAAAAATATTGTAAAGTCCTTTGGGATAATCGATAAATGGGAAAGGGAAAGTTTTATATTTTTACCTTGCAAGTATTTATGATAGTGGGGGATTCCATGCCTAATTAGTTATTAATAGAACAAAGAAACAAAAAAATGACTTTTATTCTTAAAGATTCACTCATAGTTGAGGCCATCTTCATGGTTACATTTATATTCTAAATACAATGGAAAATGAATAATAAAGGATGTTTTTATACGTATGATAGTTGTGCTAAGCATGAGTTTGTTATTTTTAAGAACATCCTAAGAGGCAACAGTCTAGTGGGTACATGGACAAACCACAAACTGGAGGTGTTGAATGCCATTCTTAATTAAGCCAAATCACTTGTTTTAAAAGTGAGCAAGTCCCTACTCTAAAGAAAATTACTTGGCTCAACACTGATATGTTAAGACATATCCTAGAACATGCTGCTATTCAACAGGTTGTGGGCTGGTAATAATATTTTTTCAATACTATGAGAAATACAAGTAAGAATATGATCATTAGGATTTCAAATGATACACTTTAGAGTACAGAAAGAAAATTCAAATGGAATCCAAATATTAAGGAAATTATCTTCAAATTAGTTCAATAAGGGCAGGCAGTTTCATATTGTTGTTCTTAAGGAGCTAAATCTAATTTGAATCCACTCACTAAAACAATATTTATTGCACCTGGGAAGTAAAATTAAGAAGGAATACATGAATTTAAAATTAAACTCCCAGCTAAAAATTGAAGGGTCGAGGCAAATGTAACAGCTTGGAGAAAGATCATTGCACATAAAATTCATCTCATAAATGGAAATGCCTATTTAAAAAAAAAGAATGCTGATGAGTTATTTCTATCCATAAAGAAACAGAACAGGACAAAAGAGATTCAAATCTTGCCTAATATATGGCAGGCAGGCAGTGGGGGAAGAGTTGGTCTTCATGGACATATGTAGCAAAAGGCTGACTCTAGACTGTGACCTCATCAGTCTGCCTTTGGTTTTGTGGATCTACCCTCTACTTCAGTCTTTTCACTTACATCTTAAGGAAAGTTGTGATTTGTTAAATTATAAAATATTAAAGCTAGATAGGACCTTACAGATAGATCACATAACCCAACATAGTATCAGTTTTCTGCTTCAATGTCCAATACAGTAGACACTAGCCACATATTCCTATTTTAATTAAAATGCATTTAATTAAAATTAAAAATTCAGTTCCTCAGTCACATTAGTTAGACATTGAGTTCTCAATAGTCACAAAGTATGCTTTCATCATCACAGAAAATTCTGTTAGACAGTGCAGGATAGTGTTTAAACCCCTCGGTTCTTAAGAAAGACAGTCTGGGTTCGAATTTTGGATCTATCTTGTACCAGTTGTGTGACTGGGCAAATTCCTTTGCCCTTCTGTGCCTCAGTTTCTGTCTCTATAAAATGAAGTAATAACAGGATAACATGTAATGATATGATCAAAATAATTGTCTTGAGGATTAGATTATTTCTACCCAATTCATTTAAAACTGTGCCTGGACTATGGTTAACACTCAGGGAATGCTGGTTTTTTTCTTTTTACAGGCAAGACAGACACCCATCTGCCCATGGACAATTTTAAGCGGATATGAGACAAGGTACCCAACCCTCTACCTCCTGCTCTTCTTCTCACTATCCCAACAAGCCTCCAGCATATTGCTTTTGTTTTTAAATTTATCATCAAATGAGATCCTTAAATATGAACACATGTATAAACACATTATATAAGAATTTAATGATTCCATGCAAATGTTAGAATGGAAGCACTAAAAAAGCTTTTTTATTTCAAATAAAATTATCACATCTGCAAAGCTGAAGCTATAATCTGCTCATTGGCCCATACGTTTTTTTTAAAACTCAAGGAAAGTTAATGATGTTAATGATTAAGTCTTATAGGCATTAGCTCATTATATCATGAAATAAGTCAATAAAATAAATAATTGTTTATGTAAGATGATTCAAAGAATATCTTTTACTGTTTTAATCTCTCGCTCTGGAAAATCTGAATTTAGATGATTCAGGTTAATCTAATCAAGCACACATTAATTTACTTGTCACATCCAGGTAGCAGAACAGCTTTGGGATCCAAGAAGGTTTTATATGCAATTGTAATGCCACCTCTGGCAAATGCAGTCACCTGGTCAAAGGTCAAACTCAAAACAGGGTTCCATGGAGATCTGAAAAATGAAAAAAAAAATCAAAATTATCTGCAAAATTATGCAAACACTAAAACTTGAGCACAAATAAATACTAAAACATAAAATATCAGTGTCTAATAAAATCCAAAAATCTTAAGTGCACATTTTACTTTATTTGGCTGATTTACAATATGCCAAGGATAGTTGTAACACATAACATTTTAAAAAATAATTTAAACAATAAAAGTAAAATATCTAGTGGAGAAAAAGAACCATTTTTTCATATAGTGTTCATTTTGTAATAACTATATCCTGTACAACTAAATGATGTTCATCAATGTGTAGCTATAATGCAATATGCCAATAATAATCTTTGGATCTGATATTTAAATAAATCCTTAATATTTGATTAAAAACAACCTTTTTTTCTTTATGGGCTAACTAAATGTTATGCTAATTTAAACATCAATCAGCTGCCTCCTGCACATCTCCTGGGGATGTACCTGCAACCCAGGTACATGCCCTCAACCGGAATCGAACCCGGGACCTTTCAGTCCGCAGGCCGATGCTCTATCCACTGAGCCAAACCGGTTTCGGCTAATTTGTTTTTTATTTTACATACTGTTAGGAACATTTTTAGGTTAATTTAATTATTTGAGAATAAAATAGAAACAGACTCATACACAGAGAGTAGGCAGCCAGCTCTGGTGGGGGAGTGTCGGAAGGATGGTGAAGGGATTGAGCAAAAAAGAAGAAAAAGGGGAAAGAACTCATAGACACAAAAAACAGTGTGGTGATGGGGGTGGGTGGGGAGGTGAAAGACGATATAGGGGGGTAAATTGTGATTGAAATAAAGAAAAAATAAAATAAATCAGATGGAAAACAGATCTTAAAAATAAGAATGGCCACTATGTCAAATATGAGATTTTTTTTCTAAATTGATGACAAAAACTTGCTATTTAACTTTATAATTATATGACTCAACCATATCACCCGTATAGTATAATAAAAAATACTTGAACTGAATCTAATCATGAGAAAACACTCAGAAAAATCCAGAATATGGGACATTCCACAAGAAAAGTGCTGAACTCTTTTTAAAAAAATCAATGTCATGAAAAACAAAATAAAAGGTGGAGGAATATTCTAGATTGAAGAGAACTAAAGAAAATAACTAAGTGCAATACATGAAGCTTATTTGGATCCCAGGTTACAAATAGCTCTAAAGTGCATTTTGGGTAGTTTGAATATAATCTGTATATTGGGTGATATCACATTATTGTTGACTATGTTAGATATTATAATGTGGTGATATAGAAGAATAATTCTAATTCTTCAGTTATGTGACCTAAAGCAGTTAAGAGTAAAACTTTAATGATTGTCTGAAATTAATTTCTAACCATTCAAAAGAGAGAGAAGGGAGATTTTTTTAAAAGTGGTAAAATAAATGTGGCAAACTCTAAATTGTTGAGCCTTGGTGAAGGATATATAGATATTCATTGTATTATCATTCCAAGTTGTCTGTAGATTTGACATTTTTCTAAATAAAAATTGGGAGAAAATAATTAAAGGACTCAAAATTGAAGCAGATATTGGCAATATCATCTTTCGTAAATTAGTAACCTGATCCCCCATATCAACAAATACTAGGCAAGTTAGAATTACTCCCTAAAAATGATTATCATGTACTTAGTACACACTGCACATTTTCTCAATATATTTTAAATTGGGATGGAAATAACTTTTTAGACATAAATTTTAGAAATCCCAATAATAGCAAATGCGTAATTGTTTCCAAGTGCCTCATATTAGATTCAAAACCAGAAAAAGAATACATTATCCTATTAAAATAACAATAATGAACAAATAAGTATATAGACTATGGATTCCTCCAGCTATAATCCTCAGTTGATTTTGGAGTTATTTCAAATATACTTAGCGTTTCTATTAGTTATTCCACTAATATGATATACATAACCAAAATCAAGTGTTTGAGCTTATTAAAATCCAGTAATACAGCAAACATTAATAAAAACATCAAAATTAGTCAGTCATTGCTTTCACTTTAACAATGATATTTAAGAAGAGATTACTAGCCAAACATTTTAGTTAAAAATCTTTCCTTGTAATAAAATTCGTTGCTGTTTGTATCATGCAAAAACCATTTTCACAGTGCACTTAAAATGTATTTTGAAATCTGCCTTTGGGGAAAAAACACCATTTCTTACAGATATTTTGAGTTTTATAAATTACACACCATTAGAAATTATTACGTATTTTAATTTTATTCTACTAGGACAGGTGAAATAGAGTTTTGTAGTATATTACCAACACTAATCCTCCCAACTTCTTCCAAAACCATCATGGACTTCTGAGTAAATTTATTTCCATACTTAAAATTTTGACTATTAGAATATAGTCAAGTCCAATTAGCTTCTAGCTCTGTCCAGGTTATTTTCATTATAATTATGATCAATTATACTCAATAAGCAAAATTATTTTCCCATGTCCTCTATTGTGTTCTACAAATAAAGAGCTAAAAAAAAAAATTAAGAGAAGGCAGAAAAGTGTAATATTTAAGTTTCCCGACAAGCAGTTTCAGAGTTCATCTGGATGTATTCTGTCAAAAAATGCATAAATCTCCAAGACAGTCCACACACAGCCCAGCTCATCAGTGCCTGCAGACTGCAGCCTTTTTCTTTCCTCAGAAACACAAATAATTGTATGCAGGAATTTACCAATCTACAAAAATTTACACAACATTTTGCAATAACCAGTAATTATTGTGGGATAATATAAGGCGCCTTTGAGAAATACAACTTTGATACGATAGAGCTTACGAGCTTTACCAATTTATCTCTAGCTGTTCTGTCATTGGTGCTTAAAAGGTTAAGACTTTATTTGTGAAAACAGAGAGATAGTAGGGAATCATGTTGTCTACAGCTTCATAAATCTTGCTTAAAATCCTTTTCAATTACCATCCATTTCTCGTTTAAAAAAGGACAAAAAATAGAGGAGTGGAAGCAGGTCAGGGCAGTGTGCGACAATGACAGTGTGATGGGCTTGGGCCCCCCGTGGCGTTTCCATCTGCTATCATTAAGGTGACTACTCAGACATGAACAAATCCCACTTGCTGTGCTGACAGGCAGACTTCAAGAACTATGACAAGGCATTAAGACAGAAAAGTCAGAGAGAGACAGCAAGAGAGAGCGAGAGCGAGAGCGAGAGCGAGAGAGAGAGAGAGAGAGAGAGGAGGGAGAGAGGAGAGGGAGATGGAGATAGAAAGAGAAAGAGAGATAGAGATGACAAATTTCACAAACAATACTGCCTCACAAAAAAAAGAAAATTTTATTGGAATTCAAAATTTTAAAAATTTTTCATAAATGGTGCTCTTGGCTTCTCAACTCTCCTTTTAAATCCGTTTGCCCCAGAAGAGACTGAGGACAGACAGAAGAAACACCTCACTCCTACCTGTACGCTTTACCATAAGAGACCCAAATTTTTTGCTCATTCTTCAGCAAAAGTGGGTTCTTAATTTCTTGACCATGCTCATCGAAAAGCCGTGTTGAAGAAAAATTGAGGCCTGGTGGGTTGATGGAAGATCCTTGAAGCCTTTGATGAATCCTGAGAAGTAACTGGGGGAAAATAAGGAAGAAGAAGAAGAAAGAATTACATAAATTGTGAACATCGGTAATAAACTGTCTTTACTCTGTAACAAATGAAGTCCAAACAAATGATAATCAAATTCATATAGAATGCTAAAGGAAGTGTGAAATGATGGCAGTGTTTAGCTCAAAGGAAAGTAACAAAATGAGCACGGGCTTTTAACCAGCAGGGGGTGCCACAGGCTTGTGATTGAGCTCTGACCCTTCAGCGCTGGGACTGAAAGGATATGAGAG